TGCCATTCTCCCGTTATCCTGCCATTCTCCCTTTATCCTGCCATTCTCCCTTTATCCCGCCATTCTCCCGTTATCCTGCCATTCTCCCTTTATCCCGCCATTCTCCCGTTATCCTGCCATTCTCCCTTTATCCCGCCATTCTCCCGTTATCCCGCCATTCTCCCTTTATCCTGCCATTCTCCCGTTATCCCGCCATTCTCCCGTTATCCCGCCATTCTCCCATTATCCTGCCATTCTCCCGTTATCCTGCCATTCTCCCGTTATCCTGCCATTCTCCCTTTATCCCGCCATTCTCCCGTTATCCTGCCATTCTCCCGTTATCCCGCCATTCTCCCTTTATCCCGCCATTCTCCCTTTATCCCGCCATTCTCCCGTTATCCTGCCATTCTCCCTTTATCCCGCCATTCTCCCGTTATCCTGCCATTCTCCCTTTATCCCGCCATTCTCCCGTTATCCCGCCATTCTCCCTTTATCCTGCCATTCTCCCTTTATCCCGCCATTCTCCCGTTATCCCGCCATTCTCCCTTTATCCCGCCATTCTCCCGTTATCCCGCCATTCTCCCGTTATCCCGCCATTCTCCCTTTATCCCGCCATTCTCCCTTATCCTGCCATTCTCCCGTTATCCCTCCATTCTCCCGTTATCCCGCCATTCTCCCGTTATCCCGCCATTCTCCCGTTATCCTGCCATTCTCCCTTTATCCTGCCATTCTCCCGTTATCCCGCCATTCTCCCTTTATCCCGCCATTCTCCCGTTATCCTGCCATTCTCCCTTTATCCTGCCATTCTCCCGTTATCCTGCCATTCTCCCGTTATCCTGCCATTCTCCCGTTATCCCGCCATTCTCCCTTTATCCTGCCATTCTCCCGTTATCCTGCCATTCTCCCTTTATCCCGCCATTCTCCCGTTATCCTGCCATTCTCCCTTTATCCCGCCATTCTCCCGTTATCCTGCCATTCTCCCTTTATCCCGCCATTCTCCCGTTATCCCGCCATTCTCCCTTTATCCTGCCATTCTCCCGTTATCCCGCCATTCTCCCGTTATCCCGCCATTCTCCCATTATCCTGCCATTCTCCCGTTATCCTGCCATTCTCCCGTTATCCTGCCATTCTCCCTTTATCCCGCCATTCTCCCGTTATCCTGCCATTCTCCCGTTATCCCGCCATTCTCCCTTTATCCCGCCATTCTCCCTTTATCCCGCCATTCTCCCGTTATCCTGCCATTCTCCCTTTATCCCGCCATTCTCCCGTTATCCTGCCATTCTCCCTTTATCCCGCCATTCTCCCGTTATCCCGCCATTCTCCCTTTATCCTGCCATTCTCCCGTTATCCCGCCATTCTCCCGTTATCCTGCCATTCTCCCTTTATCCCGCCATTCTCCCGTTATCCCGCCATTCTCCCTTTATCCTGCCATTCTCCCGTTATCCCGCCATTCTCCCGTTATCCTGCCATTCTCCCTTTATCCCGCCATTCTCCCGTTATCCCGCCATTCTCCCTTTATCCTGCCATTCTCCCGTTATCCCGCCATTCTCCCGTTATCCCGCCATTCTCCCGTTATCCCGCCATTCTCCCTTTATCCCGCCATTCTCCCGTTATCCCGCCATTCTCCCTTTATCCTGCCATTCTCCCGTTATCCCGCCATTCTCCCTTTATCCTGCCATTCTCCCTTTATCCTGCCATTCTCCCGTTATCCCGCCATTCTCCCGTTATCCTGCCATTCTCCCGTTATCCCGCCATTCTCCCGTTATCCTGCCATTCTCCCTTTATCCCGCCATTCTCCCGTTATCCCGCCATTCTCCCTTTATCCTGCCATTCTCCCTTTATCCCGCCATTCTCCCGTTATCCCGCCATTCTCCCTTTATCCCGCCATTCTCCCGTTATCCCGCCATTCTCCCGTTATCCCGCCATTCTCCCTTTATCCCGCCATTCTCCCTTTATCCTGCCATTCTCCCGTTATCCCTCCATTCTCCCGTTATCCCGCCATTCTCCCGTTATCCCGCCATTCTCCCGTTATCCTGCCATTCTCCCTTTATCCTGCCATTCTCCCGTTATCCCGCCATTCTCCCTTTATCCCGCCATTCTCCCGTTATCCTGCCATTCTCCCTTTATCCTGCCATTCTCCCGTTATCCTGCCATTCTCCCGTTATCCTGCCATTCTCCCGTTATCCCGCCATTCTCCCTTTATCCTGCCATTCTCCCGTTATCCTGCCATTCTCCCTTTATCCCGCCATTCTCCCGTTATCCTGCCATTCTCCCTTTATCCCGCCATTCTCCCGTTATCCTGCCATTCTCCCTTTATCCCGCCATTCTCCCGTTATCCCGCCATTCTCCCTTTATCCTGCCATTCTCCCGTTATCCCGCCATTCTCCCGTTATCCCGCCATTCTCCGTTATCCTGCCATTCTCCCGTTATCCTGCCATTCTCCCGTTATCCTGCCATTCTCCCTTTATCCCGCCATTCTCCCGTTATCCTGCCATTCTCCCGTTATCCCGCCATTCTCCCTTTATCCCGCCATTCTCCCTTTATCCCGCCATTCTCCCTTTATCCCGCCATTCTCCCTTTATCCCGCCATTCTCCCGTTATCCTGCCATTCTCCCGTTATCCCGCCATTCTCCCGTTATCCCGCCATTCTCCCGTTATCCTGCCATTCTCCCTTTATCCCGCCATTCTCCCGTTATCCTGCCATTCTCCCTTTATCCCGCCATTCTCCCGTTATCCTGCCATTCTCCCTTTATCCCGCCATTCTCCCGTTATCCTGCCATTCTCCCGTTATCCCGCCATTCTCCCGTTATCCCGCCATTCTCCCGTTATCCTGCCATTCTCCCGTTATCCCGCCATTCTCCCGTTATCCCGCCATTCTCCCGTTATCCTGCCATTCTCCCTTTATCCCGCCATTCTCCCGTTATCCTGCCATTCTCCCTTTATCCCGCCATTCTCCCGTTATCCTGCCATTCTCCCGTTATCCTGCCATTCTCCCGTTATCCCGCCATTCTCCCGTTATCCTGCCATTCTCCCTTTATCCCGCCATTCTCCCGTTATCCTGCCATTCTCCCGTTATCCCGCCATTCTCCCGTTATCCCGCCATTCTCCCATTATCCTGCCATTCTCCCGTTATCCTGCCATTCTCCCGTTATCCTGCCATTCTCCCTTTATCCTGCCATTCTCCCTTTATCCCGCCATTCTCCCGTTATCCTGCCATTCTCCCTTTATCCCGCCATTCTCCCGTTATCCTGCCATTCTCCCTTTATCCCGCCATTCTCCCGTTATCCCGCCATTCTCCCTTTATCCTGCCATTCTCCCGTTATCCCGCCATTCTCCCGTTATCCCGCCATTCTCCCATTATCCTGCCATTCTCCCGTTATCCTGCCATTCTCCCGTTATCCTGCCATTCTCCCTTTATCCCGCCATTCTCCCGTTATCCTGCCATTCTCCCGTTATCCCGCCATTCTCCCTTTATCCCGCCATTCTCCCTTTATCCCGCCATTCTCCCTTATCCCGCCATTCTCCCTTTATCCCGCCATTCTCCCGTTATCCTGCCATTCTCCCGTTATCCCGCCATTCTCCCGTTATCCCGCCATTCTCCCGTTATCCTGCCATTCTCCCTTTATCCCGCCATTCTCCCGTTATCCTGCCATTCTCCCTTTATCCCGCCATTCTCCCGTTATCCTGCCATTCTCCCTTTATCCCGCCATTCTCCCGTTATCCTGCCATTCTCCCTTTATCCCGCCATTCTCCCTTTATCCCACCATTCTCCCGTTATCCCGCCATTCTCCCGTTATCCCGCCATTCTCCCGTTATCCTGCCATTCTCCCTTTATCCCGCCATTCTCCCGTTATCCTGCCATTCTCCCGTTATCCTGCCATTCTCCCGTTATCCTGCCATTCTCCCGTTATCCCGCCATTCTCCCGTTATCCCGCCATTCTCCCTTTATCCCGCCATTCTCCCGTTATCCTGCCATTCTCCCGTTATCCTGCCATTCTCCCGTTATCCTGCCATTCTCCCTTTATCCCGCCATTCTCCCTTTATCCCGCCATTCTCCCGTTATCCTGCCATTCTCCCTTTATCCCGCCATTCTCCCTTTATCCCGCCATTCTCCCGTTATCCTGCCATTCTCCCTTTATCCCGCCATTCTCCCTTTATCCCGCCATTCTCCCGTTATCCTGCCATTCTCCCGTTATCCCGCCATTCTCCCGTTATCCTGCCATTCTCCCGTTATCCTGCCATTCTCCCTTTATCCCGCCATTCTCCCTTTATCCCGCCATTCTCCCTTTATCCCGCCATTCTCCCGTTATCCTGCCATTCTCCCGTTATCCCGCCATTCTCCCGTTATCCTGCCATTCTCCCGTTATCCCGCCATTCTCCCTTTATCCGCCATTCTCCCTTTATCCCGCCATTCTCCCTTTATCCCGCCATTCTCCCATTATCCTGCCATTTTCCCTTTATCCCGCCATTCTCCCCGTTATCCTGCCATTCTCCCTTTATCCCGCCATTCTCCCGTTATCCCGCCATTCTCTCCCGTTATCCCGCCATTCTCCCTTTATCCCGCCATTCCTCCCGGTATCCTGCCATTCTCCCTTTATCCCGCCAATTCTCCCGTTATCCTGCCATTCTCCCTTTATCCCGCCATCTCCCTTTATCCCGCCATTCTCCCGTTATCCTGCCATTCTCCCGTTATCCCGCCATTCTCCCTTTATCCGCCATTCTTCCCGTTATCCTGCCATTCTCCCCGTTATCCTGCCATTCTCCCTTTATCCCGCCATTCTCCCGTTATCCTGCCATTCTCCCTTTATCCCGCCATTCTCCCGTTATCCCGCCATTCTCCCCGTTATCCGCCATTCTCCCTTTATCCTGCCATTCTCCCGTTATCCTGCCATTCTCCCGTTATCCTGGCCATTCTCCCTTTATCCCGCCATTCTCCCGTTATCCTGCATTCTCCCTTTATCCTGCCATTCTCCCGTTATCCTGCCATTCTCCCGTTATCTGCCATTCTCCCTTTATCCCAGCCATTCTCCCGTTTCCTGCCATTCTCCCTTTATCCGCCAATTCTCCCGTTATCCCGCCATTCTCCCGTTATCCTGCCATTCTCCCTTTATCCTCCATTCTCCCGTTATCCCGCCATTCTCCCGTTATCCTGCCATTCTCCCTCTATCCCGCCATTCTCCCGTTATCCGCCATTTCCCTTTATCCTGCCATTTTCCCCGTTATCCTGCCATTTCTCCCGTTATCCTGCCATTCTCACCTTTATCCCGCCATTCTCCCGTTATCCTGCCATTCTCCCTTATCCGCCCATTCTCCCGTTATCCTTCCATTCTCCCTTTATCCTTCCATTCTCCCGTTATCCCGCCATTCTCCCGTTATCCTGCCATTCTCCCTTTATCCCCGCCATTCTCCCGTTATCCCGCCATTCTCCCTTTATCCTGCCATTCTCCCGTTATCCTGCCATTCTCCCTTTATCCCGCCATTCTCCCTTTATCCCGCCATTCTCCGTTATCCTGCCATTCTCCCTTATCCCGCCATTCTCCCTTTATCCCGCCATTCTCCCGTTATCCTGCCATTCTCCCTTTATCCCGCCATTCTCCCTTTATCCCGCCATTCTCCCGTTATCCTGCCATTCTCCCGTTATCCCGCCATTCTCCCGTTATCCTGCCATTCTCCCGTTATCCTGCCATTCTCCCTTATCCCGCCATTCTCCCTTTATCCCGCCATTCTCCCTTTATCCCGCCATTCTCCCGTTATCCTGCCATTCCTCCCGTTATCCCGCCATTCTCCCGTTATCCTGCCATTCTCCCGTTATCCCGCCATTCTCCCTTTATCCCGCCATTCTCCCTTTATCCCGCCATTCTCCCTTTATCCCGCCATTCTCCCATTATCCTGCCATTTCCCCTTTATCCCGCCATTCTCCCGTTATCCTGCCATTCTCCCTTTATCCCGCCATTCTCTTCCCGTTATCCCGCCATTCTCCCCGTTATCCCGCCATTCTCCCTTTATCCCGCCATTCTCTCCGTTATCCTGCCATTCTCCCTTTATCCCGCCATTTCTCCCGTTATCCTGCCATTCTCCCTTTATTCCCGCCATTCTCCCTTTATCCCGCCATTCTCCCGTTATCCTGCCCATTCTCCCGTTATCCCGCCATTCTCCCTTTATCCCGCCATTCTCCCGTTATCCTGCCATTCTCCCGTTATCCTGCCATTCTCCCTTTATCCCGCCATTCTCCCGTTATCCTGCCATTCTCCCTTTATCCCGCCATTCTCCCGTTATCCCGCCATTCTCTCCCGTTATCCCGCCATTCTCCCTTTATCCTGCCATTCTCCCGTTATCCTGCCATTCTCCCGTTATCCTGCCATTCTCCCTTTATCCCGCCATTCTCCCGTTATCCTGCCATTCTCCCTTTATCCTGCCATTCTCCCGTTATCCTGCCATTCTCCCGTTATCCTGCCATTCTCCCTTTATCCAGCCATTCTCCCGTTATCCTGCCATTCTCCCTTTATCCGCCATTCTCCCGTTATCCCGCCATCTCTCCCGTTATCCTGCCATTCTCTCCTTTATCCCGCCATTCCTCCCGTTATCCCGCCATTCTCCCGTTATCCTGCCATTCTCCCTCTATCCCGCCATTCTCTCCCGTTATCCCGCCATTCTCCTTTATCCTGCCATTTTCCCGTTATCCTGCCATTCGCCCGTTATCCTGCCATTCTCACTTTATCCCGCCATTCTCCCGTTATCCTGCCATTCTCCCTTTATCCCGCATTCTCCCGTTATCCTTCCATTCTCCCTTTATCCTTCCATTCTCCCGTTATCCCGCCATTCTCCCGTATCCTGCCATTCTCCCTTTATCCCGCCATTCTCCCGTTATCCCGCCATTCTCCCTTTATCCTGCCATTCTCCCGTTATCCCGCCATTCTCCCGTTATCCCGCCATTCTCCCGTTATCCCGCCATTCTCCCTTTATCCCCGCCATTCTCCCGTTATCCCGCCATTCTCCCTTTATCCTGCCATTCTCCCGTTATCCCGCCATTCTCCCTTTATCCTGCCATTCTCCCTTTATCCTGCCATTCTCCCGTTATCCCGCCATTCTCCCGTTATCCTGCCATTCTCCCGTTATCCCGCCATGCTCCCGTTATCCTGCCATTCTCCCTTTATCCCGCCATTCTCCCGTTATCCCGCATTCTCCCTTTATCTGCCATTCTCCGTTATCCCGCCATTCTCCCGTTATCCCGCCATTCCTCCCTTTATCCGCCATTCTCCCGTTATCCCGCCATTCTCCCGTTATCCCGCCATTCTCCCTTTATCCCGCCATTCTCCCTTTATCCTGCCATTCTCCCGTTATCCCTCCATTCTCCCGTTATCCCGCCATTCTCCGTTATCCCGCCATTCTCCCGTTATCCTGCCATTCTCCCTTTATCCTGCCATTCTCCCGTTATCCCGCCATTCTCCCTTTATCCCGCCATTCTCCCGTTATCCTGCCATTCTCCCTTTATCCTGCCATTCTCCCGTTATCCTGCCATTCTCCCGTTATCCTGCCATTCTCCCGTTATCCCGCCATTCTCTCTTTATCCTGCCATTCTCCCGTTATCCTGCCATTCTCCCTTTATCCCGCCATTCTCCCGTTATCCTGCCATTCTCCCTTTATCCCGCCATTCTCCCGTTATCCTGCCATTCTCCCTTTATCCCGACATTCTCCCGTTATCCTGCCATTCTCCCTTTATCCCGCCATTCTCCGTTATCCTGCCATTCTCCCGTTATCCCGCCATTCTCCCGTTATCCCGCCATTCTCCCGTTATCCTGCCATTCTCCCTTTATCCCGCCATTCTCCCGTTATCCTGCCATTCTCCCTTTATCCCGCCATTCTCCCGTTATCCTGCCATTCTCCCGTTATCCCGCCATTCTCCCGTTATCCCGCCATTCTCCCTTTATCCCGCCATTCTCCCGTTATCCTGCCATTCTCCCTTTATCCCGCCATTCTCCCGTTATCCTGCCATTCTCCCGTTATCCCGCCATTCTCCGTTATCCCGCCATTCTCTCCCGTTATCCTGCCACTCTCCCTTTATCCCGCCATTCTCCCGTTATCCTGCCATTCTCCCTTTATCCCGCCATTCTCCCGTATCCTGCCATCTCCCTTTATCCGCAATTCTCCCGTTATCCTGCCATTCTCCGTTATCCCGCATTCTCCCGTTATCCTGCCATTCTCCCGTATCCCTCCCGTTATCCTGCATTCTCCCGTTATCCCGCCATTCTCCGTTATCCCGCCATTCTCCCGTTATCCCGCCATTCTCCCGTTATCCCGCCATTCTCCCGTTATCCCACCATTTCTCCCGTTATCCCGCCATTCTCCCATTATCCTGCCATTCTCCCTTTATCCCGCCATTCTCCCCGTTATCCTGCCATTCTCCCTTTATCCCGCCATTCTCCCGTTATCCTTCCATTCTCCCTTTATCCCCGCCATTCTCCCGTTATCCCGCCATTCTCCCTTTATCCTGCCATTCTCCCGTTATCCCGCCATTCTCCCGTTATCCTGCCATTCTCCCTTTATCCCGCCATTCTCCCGTTATCCCGCCATTCTCCCTTTATCCTGCCATTCTCCCGTTATCCCGCCATTCTCCCGTTATCCTGCCATTCTCCTTTATCCCCGCCATTCTCCCGTTATCCCGCCATTCTCCCTTTATCCTGCCATTCTCCCGTTATCCCGCCATTCTCCCGTTATCCGCCATTCTCCCGTTATCCCGCCATTCTCCCTTTATCCCGCCATTCTCCCGTTATCCCGCCATTCTCCCTTTATCCTGCCATTCTCCCGTTATCCCGCCATTCTCCCTTTATCCTGCCATTCTCCCTTTATCCTGCCATTCTCCCGTTGTCCCGCCATTCTCCCGTTATCCTGCCATTCTCCCGTTATCCCGCCATGCTCCCGTTATCCTGCCATTCTCCCTTTATCCCGCCATTCTCCCGTTATCCCGCCATTCTCCCTTTATCCTGCCATTCTCCCTTTATCCCGCCATTCTCCCGTTATCCCGCCATTCTCCCTTTATCCCGCCATTCTCCCGTTATCCCGCCATTCTCCCGTTATCCCGCCATTCTCCCTTTATCCCGCCATTCTCCCTTTATCCTGCCATTCTCCCGTTATCCCTCCATTCTCCCGTTATCCCGCCATTCTCCCGTTATCCCGCCATTCTCCCGTTATCCTGCCATTCTCCCTTTATCCTGCCATTCTCCCGTTATCCCGCCATTCTCCCTTTATCCCGCCATTCTCCCCGTTATCCTGCCATTCTCCCTTTATCCTGCCATTCTCCCGTTATCCTGCCATTCTCCCGTTATCCTGCCATTCTCCCGTTATCCCGCCATTCTCCCTTTATCCTGCCATTCTCCCGTTATCCTGCCATTCTCCCTTTATCCCGCCATTCTCCCGTTATCCTGCCATTCTCCCTTTATCCCGCCATTCTCCCGTTATCCTGCCATTCTCCCTTTATCCCGCCATTCTCCCGTTATCCCGCCATTCTCCCTTTATCCTGCCATTCTCCCGTTATCCCGCCATTCTCCCGTTATCCCGCCATTCTCCCATTATCCTGCCATTCTCCCGTTATCCTGCCATTCTCCCGTTATCCTGCCATTCTCCCTTTATCCCGCCATTCTCCCGTTATCCTGCCATTCTCCCGTTATCCCGCCATTCTCCCTTTATCCCGCCATTCTCCCTTTATCCCGCCATTCTCCCGTTATCCTGCCATTCTCCCTTTATCCCGCCATTCTCCCGTTATCCTTCCATTCTCCCTTTATCCCGCCATTCTCCCCGTTATCCCCCCGCCATTCTCCCTTTATCCTGCCATTCTCCCGTTATCCCGCCATTCTCCCGTTATCCTGCCATTCTCCCTTTATCCCGCCATTCTCCCGTTATCCCGCCATTCTCCCTTTATCCTGCCATTCTCCCGTTATCCCGCCATTCTCCCGTTATCCTGCCATTCTCCCTTTATCCCGCCATTCTCCCGTTATCCCGCCATTCTCCCTTATCCTGCCATTCTCCCGTTATCCCGCCATTCTCCCGTTATCCCGCCATTCTCCCGTTATCCCGCCATTCTCCTTTATCCCGCCATTCTCCCGTTATCCCGCCATTCTCCCTTTATCCTGCCATTCTCCCGTTATCCCGCCATTCTCCCTTTATCCTGCCATTCTCCCTTTATCCTGCCATTCTCCCGTTATCCCGCCATTCTCCCGTTATCCTGCCATTCTCCCGTTATCCCGCCGTGCTCCCGTTATCCTGCCATTCTCCCTTTATCCCGCCATTCTCACCGTTATCCCGCCATTCTCCCTTTATCCTGCCATTCTCCCTTGATCCCGCCATTCTCCAGTCATCCGCCCTTCTCCCTTTATCCCGCCATCTCCCGTTATCCGCCATTCTCCCGTATCCGCCATTCTCCCTTTATCCCGCCATTCTCCCGTTATCCTGCCATTCTCCCTTTATCCCGCCATTCTCCCGTTATCCCGCCATTCTCCCGTTATCCTGCCATTCTCCCTCTATCCCGCCATTCTCCCGTTATCCCGCCATTCTCCCTTTATCCTGCCATTTTCCCGTTATCCTGCCATTCTCCCGTTATCCTGCCATTCTCAACTTTATCCCGGCCATTCTCTCCCGTTATCCTGCCATTCTCCCTTTATCCCGCCATTTCTCCCGTTATCCTTCCATTCTCCCCTTTATCCTTCCATTCTCCCGTTATCCCGCCATTCTCCCGTTATCCTGCCATTCTCCCTTTATCCCGCCATTCTCCCCGTTATCCCGCCATTCTCTCCTTTATCCTGCCATTCTCCCCGTTATCCCGCATTCTCCCCGTTATCCCGCCATTCTCCCGTTATCCCCGCCATTCTCCTTTAATCCCGCCATTCTCTCGCTCGTTATCCCCGCCATTCTCCCTTTATCCTGCATTCTCCCGTTATCCCGCCATTCTCCCTTTATCCTGCCATTCTCCCTTTATCCTGCCATTCCTCCCGTTATCTCCGCCGCCATTCCCTCCCGTTATCCTGGCCATTCTTCCCGTTATCCCGCCATGCTCCCGTTATCCTGCCATTCTCCCTTTATCCCGCCATTCTCCCGTTATCCCGCCATTCTCCCTTTATCCTGCCATTCTCATCCGCTTATCCCTGCCATTCTCCGTTATCTCCCGCCATTCTCGCCTTTATCCCGGCCATTCTCCCCGTTATCCCGCCATTCTCCCGTTATCCCCCATTCTCCTTTATCCCGCCATTCTCCCTTTATCCTGCCATTCTCCCGTTATCCCTCCATTCTCCCGTTATCCCGCCATTCTCCCGTTATCCCGCCATTCTCCCGTTATCCTGCCATTCTCCCTTTATCCTGCCATTCTCCCGTTATCCCGCCATTCTCCTTTATCCCGCCATTCTCCCGTTATCCTGCCATTCTCCCTTTATCCTGCCATTCTCCCGTTATCCTGCCATTCTCCCGTTATCCTGCCATTCTCCCGTTATCCCGCCATTCTCTCTTTATCCTGCCATTCTCCCGTTATCCTGCCATTCTCCCTTTATCCCGCCATTCTCCCGTTATCCTGCCATTCTCCCTTTATCCCGCCATTCTCCCGTTATCCTGCCATTCTCCCTTTATCCGACATTCTCCCGTTATCCTGCCATTCTCCCTTTATCCCGCCATTCTCCCGTTATCCTGCCATTCTCCCGTTATCCCGCCATTCTCCCGTTATCCCGCCATTCTCCCGTTATCCTGCCACTTCTCCCTTATCCCGCATTCTCCCGTTATCCTGCCATTCTCCTTTATCCCGCCATTCTCCTCCCGTTATCCTGCCATTCTCCCCCGTTATCCCGCCATTCTCCCGTTATCCCGCCATTCTCCCTTTATCCCGCCATTCTCCCGTTATCCTGCCATTCTCCCTTTATCCCGCCATTCTCCCGTTATCATGCCATTCTCCCGTTATCCCGCCATTCTCCGTTATCCCGCCATTCTCCCGTTATCCTGCCACTCTCCCTTTATCCCGCCATTCTCCCGTTATCCTGCCATTCTCCCTTTATTCCCGCCATTCTCCCGTTATCCTGCCATTCTCCCTTTATCCCGCATTCTCCCGTTATCCTGCCATTCTCCCGTTATCCCGCCATTCTCCCGTTATCCTGCCATTCTCCCGTTATCCCGCCATTCTCCCGTTATCCCGCCATTCTCCCGTTATCCCGCCATTCTCCCGTTATCCCGCCATTCTCCCGTTATCCCACCATTCTCCCGTTATCCCGCCATTCTCCCATTATCCTGCCATTCTCCCTTTATCCCGCCATTCTCCCGTTATCCTGCCATTCTCCCTTTATCCCGCCATTCTCCCGTTATCCTTCCATTCTCCCTTTATCCCGCCATTCTCCCGTTATCCCGCCATTCTCCCTTTATCCTGCCATTCTCCCGTTATCCCGCCATTCTCCCGTTATCCTGCCATTCTCCCTTTATCCCGCCATTCTCCCGTTATCCCGCCATTCTCCCTTTATCCTGCCATTCTCCCGTTATCCCGCCATTCTCCCGTTATCCTGCCATTCTCCCTTTATCCCGCCATTCTCCCGTTATCCCGCCATTCTCCCTTTATCCTGCCATTCTCCCGTTATCCCGCCATTCTCCCGTTATCCCGCCATTCTTCCCGTTATCCCGCCATTCTCCCTTTATCCCGCCATTCTCCCGTTATCCCGCCATTCTCCCTTTATCCTGCCATTCTCCCGTTATCCCGCCATTCTCCCTTTATCCTGCCATTCTCCCTTTATCCTGCCATTCTCTCCCGTTGTCCCGCCATTCTCCCCGTTATCCTGCCATTCTCCCGTTATCCCGCCATGCTCCCGTTATCCTGCCATTCTCCCTTTATCCCGCCATTCTCCCGTTATCCCGCCATTCTCCCTTTATCCTGCCATTCTCCCTTTATCCCGCCATTCTCCCGTTATCCCGCCATTCTCCCTTTATCCCGCCATTCTCCCGTTATCCCGCCATTCTCCCGTTATCCCGCCATTCTCCCTTTATCCCGCCATTCTCCCTTTATCCTGCCATTCTCCCGTTATCCCTCCATTCTCCCCGTTATCCCGCCATTCTCCCGTTATCCCGCCATTCTCCCGTTATCCCTGCCATTCTCCCTTTATCCTGCCATTCTCCCGTTATCCCGCCATTCTCCCTTTATCCCGCCATTCTCCCGTTATCCTGCCATTCTCCCTTTATCCTGCCATTCTCCCGTTATCCTGCCATTCTCCCGTTATCCTGCCATTCTCCCGTTATCCCGCCATTCTCCCTTTATCCTGCCATTCTCCCGTTATCCTGCCATTCTCCCTTTATCCCGCCATTCTCCCGTTATCCTGCCATTCTCCCTTTATCCCGCCATTCTCCCGTTATCCTGCCATTCTCCCTTTATCCCGCCATTCTCCCGTTATCCCGCCATTCTCCCTTTATCCTGCCATTCTCCCGTTATCCCGCCATTCTCCCGTTATCCCGCCATTCTCCCATTATCCTGCCATTCTCCCGTTATCCTGCCATTCTCCCGTTATCCTGCCATTCTCCCTTTATCCCGCCATTCTCCCGTTATCCTGCCATTCTCCCGTTATCCCGCCATTCTCCCTTTATCCCGCCATTCTCCCTTTATCCCGCCATTCTCCCGTTATCCTGCCATTCTCCCTTTATCCCGCCATTCTCCCGTTATCCTTCCATTCTCCCTTTATCCCGCCATTCTCCCGTTATCCCGCCATTCTCCCTTTATCCTGCCATTCTCCCGTTATCCCGCCATTCTCCCGTTATCCTGCCATTCTCCCTTTATCCCGCCATTCTCCCGTTATCCCGCCATTCTCCCTTTATCCTGCCATTCTCCCGTTATCCCGCCATTCTCCCGTTATCCTGCCATTCTCCCTTTATCCCGCCATTCTCCCGTTATCCCGCCATTCTCCCTTTATCCTGCATTCTCCCGTTATCCCGCCATTCTCCCGTTATCCCGCCATTCTCCCGTTATCCCGCCATTCTCCCTTTATCCCGCCATTCTCCCGTTATCCCGCCATTCTCCCTTATCCTGCCATTCTCCCGTTATCCCGCCATTCTCCCTTTATCCTGCCATTCTCCCTTTATCCTGCCATTCTCCCGTTATCCCGCCATTCTCCGTTATCCTGCCATTCTCCCGTTATCCCGCCAGTGCTCCCGTTATCCTGCCATTCTCCCTTTATCCGCCATTCTCCCGTTATCCCGCCATTCTCCCTTTATCCTGCCATTCTCCCTTTATCCCGCCATTCTCCCGTCATCCCGCCATTCTCCCTTTATCCCGCCATTCTCCCGTTATCCCGCCATTCTCCCGTTATCCCGCCATTCTCCCTTTATCCCGCCATTCTCCCTTTATCCTGCATTCTCCCGCTATCCCTCCATTCTCCCGTTATCCCGCCATTCTCCCGTTATCCCGCCATTCTCCCGTTATCCTGCCATTCTCCCTTTATCCTGCCATTCTCCCGTTATCCCGCCATTCTCCCTTTATCCCGCCATTCTCCCGTTATCCTGCCATTCTCCCTTTATCCTGCCATTCTCCCGTTATCCTGCCATTCTCCCGTTATCCTGCCATTCTCCCGTTATCCCGCCATTCTCCCTTTATCCTGCCATTCTCCCGTTATCCTGCCATTCTCCCTTTATCCCGCCATTCTCCCGTTATCCTGCCATTCTCCCTTTATCCCGCCATTCTCCCGTTATCCTGCCATTCTCCCTTTATCCCGCCATTCTCCCGTTATCCCGCCATTCTCCCTTTATCCTGCCATTCTCCCGTTATCCCGCCATTCTCCCGTTATCCCGCCATTCTCCCATTATCCTGCCATTCTCCCGTTATCCTGCCATTCTCCCGTTATCCTGCCATTCTCCCTTTATCCCGCCATTCTCCCGTTATCCTGCCATTCTCCCGTTATCCCGCCATTCTCCCTTTATCCCGCCATTCTCCCTTTATCCCGCCATTCTCCCTTTATCCCGCCATTCTCCCTTTATCCCGCCATTCTCACCGTTATCCTGCCATTCTCCCGTTATCCCGCCATTCTCCCGTTATCCCGCCATTCTCCCGTTATCCTGCCATTCTCCCTTTATCCCGCCATTCTCCCGTTATCCTGCCATTCTCCCTTTATCCCGCCATTCTCCCGTTATCCTGCCATTCTCCCTTTATCCCGCCATTCTCCCGTTATCCTGCCATTCTCCCGTTATCCCACCATTCTCCCGTTATCCCGCCATTCTCTCCCGTTATCCTGCCATTCTCCCGTTATCCAACCATTCTCCCGTTATCCCGCCATTCTCCCGTTATCCTGCCATTCTCCCTTTATCCCGACATTCTCCCGTTATCCTGCCATTCTCCTTTATCCCGCCATTCTCCCGTTATCCTGCCATTCTCCCGTTATCCTTGCCATTCTCCCGTTATCCCGCCATTCTCCCGTTATCCTGCCATTCTCCCTTTATCCCGCCATTCTCCCCGTTATCCTGCCATTCTCCCGTTATCCCGCCATTCTCCCGTTATCCGCCATTCTCCCATTATCCTGGCCATTCTCCCGTTATCCTGCCATTCTCCCGTTATCCTGCCATTCTCCCTTTATCCTGCCATTCTCCCTTTATCCCGCCATTCTCCCGTTATCCTGCCATTCTCCCTTTATCCCGCCATTCTCCCTTTATCCCGCCATTCTCCCGTTATCCTGCCATTCTCCCGTTATCCCGCCATTCTCCCGTTATCCCGCCATTCTCCCGTTATCCCGCCATTCTCCCGTAAAGCCATTCTCCCATTATCCTGCCATTCTCCCTTTATTCCCGCCATTCTCCGTTATCCCGCCATTCTCCCCGTTAATCCTGCCATTCTCCCGTTTATCCCGCCATTCTCCCGTTATCCCCGCCTTTCTCCCGTTATCCCGTCATTCTCCCGTTATCCTGCCATTCTCCCTTTATCCCGACATTCTCCCGTTATCCCGCCATTCTCCCTTTATCCCGCCATTCTCCCGTTATCCTGCCATTCTCCCTTTATCCCTCCTTTCCTCCTGTATCCCCCCCATCCTGCCGCTCTGCGGTCCTGCTGTTCCTTTCAGCTGCCCGATTCGGCTTCTCATGGACGAGGAGTTACGGGCAGCTGCAGCTTCGGAGGAGGTTCGGACAGCGCTGGGAAACAAAGTCAGCAAAGAGAGGATTGGGAAAGAGGTACGTGTAAGAGGTATGGGATAGAGGTACGGGATAGATGCACAGGTTTTTTACTGGGTGGATTGGGTATGCCCAATCGACACAAATCTGCATTAATGGCCTCTCACTCAGTCAGTTCGCCATCATCTGTCCGTCCCCTTACACCCATTTTCCCTTCCCCCCATCCTCCTCTTTCCCCCCTCCCGCAGGTGGATCTTATGCTCAGTCCTGTGACCCCTATGCGGCAATCTCCCTCGTGGTCGACCTCAACCTCTTCCCCACCGTCTTCCCATGCCCTCTCTCCGATCGCTGCTTCAGCTGCCTCCTTACGCCTGTTTTCCCCTTCCTGTCTTTCCTTCCGCCCCTCACAGGTAGAGCTGATGCTCAAATCCCGCGATCCCTATGCAGCCATCTCCCTCGTGGTCGACCTCAACCTCTTCCCCACCGTCTTCCCGCTCCCCCACGCCCCCTCGCACACTGCTGATGTTCCCCCTGATGATGAGCTGCCTGGGTGAGTAACGTGGTAACCAGAGACATTTGCTATTGTAACCCCGATTTGTTTGTGTTGTCTTCCCGCTCCCCCACGCGCCCTCGCACACTGCTGATGTGCCCCCTGACGACGAGTTACCTGGGTGAGTAACGTGGTAACCAGAGACAGTAACATGTGGCTTGTGCTTCAAACATGTCCCAATTCCCCTTACTCCCTCATGCCTTTTCCCCCGCCCCCTCTCCCCTCTACTCCCCCACCCTTTCCCCCTCTCCCCTTTCTATCCGCCCCCCCTCCCCTTTCCCCCCTCCCTCGTTGTTCACTTCCCTTGCGAGTCCTCTTTCTATTTTCTCTACAGCTTCTCTCCCAAACGCTGTCATTCCACACCATGTATCGTCCGTTGTACTCACGTCCCTTGTGTGTGTGTGTGTGTGTGTGTGTGTGTGTGTGTGTGTGTGTGTGTGTGTGTGTGTGTGTGTGTGTGTGTGTGTGTGTGTGTGTGTGTGTTGTGTGTTTGAGTGTGTGTTGAGTGTGTGTGTGTGGGGGGGGGGGGGGGATGTGCGTGTGTGTGGGGGGGGGGGGGGGAAGGGGGGGGAGGGTGCGTGCCACATGCATTAGCCTCTGTGAAGCTTCATTTGCTGCCACTTGCACACGCCTGCACCAATGGGAGAAACACCTGCCCCAGGTAATTGTTCACCCTAAACCCTCTCAAGCTTGTCCTCCAGATATAACCTCCCCCAGCTACAGCCTGTCTTCAGATGCAGCCTGTCCCCAGATGCAGCCTGCAACCCATTCACGAATCACACACAAAGCACCGTGCTTTTGTATTGAGACGTCTCAAACAAACCTTCACACACACGGCACCGTGCTTTTGTATTGCTTGATCTGTGGCCCTTGACTCACTCCCTCTGCTCTTCTGCTCTTCTGCATGTGTGCCACGTGGCAGGCTCTGATTGATCACTTGTCTGACCTTAGTGTGGGGCTGCTGCTGGCAGCGCTGCTGATGCCTCTCAGGCATGCCCACTACCTGGATAAGAAGAAGAAAGAGGTGAGAGAGGGGTGGAGAGGGGTGAAGTCAGGGTGTTGAGCGGTTGTGATGGGTGACGAGGGGTGCTGGCGGC